AAAGTGGGTTGTTTTTTGGTTTTGTTTTTGAGATTGAGTATTGTTGGTGGGAAGGGGAGAGTCACAGGGTTAATCAGCAGGGATCTGAGGCTGACGAGCCTTCTGCACTAGGCTGAGGTGTTTGAACTTCATCTGTGAGTTGGCCCAGTCTGCCTCCATAAATACCTGCCATTCTGCGACCATGTGAGGGTCAGCCACCTCCTCAGGTCAACTAAGATTCCAAACCGCCACGTCAACAGATGGCATTTTGAGGTATGGGGCTTCAGAGAGAGAGACTGGTTGGGACTGAGTTTCCCAATAGCCTCTTCTCCACATACAATTTAAGAATGGAACCATAATGCCCAGACGCAGCCAAAGAAGCCACACTGTTCGAGATGCAAGAATTTAGACAATCCATCCTCATAATTTTTTTTTGTAGTTAAGGTAACTTAGACTCTGAGTAGTGAGGTGATAATAGCAAAACGTATCAGCAGCAGAACCAGGATGAAACACCATGTCTCCTATGCCCAGGAACAGACTTTTAAAAAATTTGCGGTTTGGTTATCCAAGCCATGAGAAACATCATCAAGCTTGTCCCCATTCATTCATTCAGCACGCATTTATTCATTCTCTTCTATAAATTTGGTTTTAGGAGGAACTGAGGATTCGTGGATGACAAAACCTGGTATCTGTCCTAGAGGAGCCCAAGTCAAAAGGTAAGGACATGACAGCATGGAAGACTCTGGTGGCTCTGGGGACTGAGAATATGCTGGGTGAAATGGGATGGTCCCGACCATGGCTTTAGATGATTGTTGTCTGAATATTGGTTCAAGGTTGCCTCCTTAAGAATTTTTTCGAAAGGCCAGAAAACTAGATTTTTAAGGAAAACATTTTGATTTTTTTTTTTTTAAGATTTTTTTATTTATTTGCGAGAGAGAGAATGAGAGACAGAGAGCATGAGAGGGAGGAGGGTCAGAGGGAGAAGCAGACTCCCTGCTGAGCAGGGAGCCTGATGTGGGACTCGATCCCAGGACTCCAGGGTCATGACCTGAGCCGAAGGCAGTCGCTTAACCAACTGAGCCACCCAGGCGCCCCATTCTGATTTTTAAAACACTCTAAGGCCAGGGTACCTAGGTAGCTCAGGTCATGATCTCAGAGGCCTGGGATTGAGCCCTACGTTGGTCTCTCTGCTCAGCGCGGAGTTTGATTCTCCCTCTCCCTCTGCCACTCCCCCTGCTTGTGCTCTCTCACTCTCTCTATCTCAAATAAATAAATAAAACCTTAATAAATAAATAAAAAAAATACTCTAAGGCCTAAACAAAATATATCTGCAGGTGAATTTGACTTACTGCTGCCATTTTGTAATTCCTAGTCTAGGCAATTATTCTTACTGTATTGCTCAAAGATCTCCCAGGGGGCTTGTTAAAAATACCAAACTCTTGGGGCGCCTAGGTGGCTCAGTTGTTAGGCGGCTGCCTTTGGCTCAGGTCATGATCCCAGGGCCCTGGGATAGAGCCCCGCATCAGGCTCCTTGCTCAGTGGGAGGCCTGCTTATCCCTCTCCCACTCCTCCTGCTTGTGTTCGCTCTCTTGTTGTCTCTCTCTCTCCATCAAAATAAATAAATAAAATGTTTAAAAAAAATACAAAACTCTTGACTACATCCCAAGACATTTGGAATCAATAGGGCTGGGTTGGGATCCTTGAATCTCCACTTATCATAAACTCTTCCAGTGTAGGTGGTCCAGAGACCACACTTTAAGAAACCCTGATCTAGCTGCTTTCCCACTTAGGAGCTTTCATTTCATCCTCTCTTAATCCAGGGTCCCCAGCAGTGGACTTAAATAGTTGATTCGATGGCGCTATAGTTCAGTTAGGAAACACCGTTCTGGAGGTCAGGACTCATACATTCCGTTCATTTCAGTGTTGACAAGCATCTCATGCAAACTCAAAGAGGGAACAGCAAAGACAAACACAGGAAAAGGGCAGAGATGCATAGATAGCTTGTAGGAGGCTGGAGACAGGGAGAAAGCCAGAAAGGGAAAAGTGAGGAGGACTCAGGAAGTTGAAGTTAACTGCTGCATTCTGTGGGGGTGTGGGCTTCAGAAGGATCACCCACTATTACACACTGACTGTAATCCCTGTTCCTAGCTCTCAGCTGCTTATCTAGTTAGATACTTCGTCCATCAGGAGATGGCCCAGGAGCCTATTAGAGGTGAAATGATTTTCCAGGTTGCAGCAACAGGCCTTCGTCCCTCTGAGTAGACCACCTGATTTATCTTTTGTTAATGATTTTATTTATGAGAGAGAGAGAGCGCAGGGGCAGAGGAAAAGGGAGAAGCAGACTCCCTGCTGAGCAGGGAGCCCAACATGGGGCTCGATCTCAGGACCCTGGGATCATGACCTGAGCTGAAGGCAGACGCTTAATAACTGAACCATTTATTGAATAGATGCGGTTTAACCACTTGGGAGCTATGCAGCCTTGGCAAATCACTTAATCTTCTAGAGTCTTAAGATTGCTTTATCTGCACAAGAGGGTAATGATACCTCCTCCGTAAGACTGTTAAGAGAGCTAAATGAGATAATGTATGTAAAAGCATTTAGCATAGCACATGGCCAATAGGACATGATCAGTAATTGTTTTCAGAGCTAAAAAAGGGTTTAAGAAGTTATCTGTCCCAGCCCCCTGCTTTCATCATCAAAAACAATTAAGCCAGTCTCCTCATGCTACAGGATCTAAATACCATTTTAAATTTCAGGAAGAAGATGGTAGCGACATGCCTCATTCTGGGGATGCATACTAGATGGGATTTCAGTCCAAAGAAGCAACCCTCTGAAGGGCAAGGTCTCCCAGAGTGCACTCTTCCTGGGCTGCACCTAAGTAGCTGAGAGGAATGTACATATTAAAGTCACATGCTTTTTTTTACCTAGACTCTCACGAAATAATAAACGCTCCAGACTTGCATCACTCTCTAAATCAGGAAAGAGGGGGCACCTGGCTGGCTCAGTCAGTAGAGCAGGTGACTCTTGATCTCAGGGTTGTGAGTTTGAGCCCCATGTTGGGGGTGGAGCCTACTGAAAAAATAAAAGAAAAAAGAATTTATTAAATAAATAAATCAGGAAGGAAAAATGAAACAGAATCAATGGTCCCAGACTGATTGTGTTTCAAGGAGAGGATGTTATTTCTAAACTCTCACCCATCAATCCTTTTTACTTCTCACCCTTAAGGTAATATCCATTTGCCTTGGTAATTGGCAACAGAGGAAGAGTGAGTAGGCACAGCGGAGAGAAAGAGGGTAGGTGGGGTAAACTGACTATTGTTTCACTGTAATGACTCAAGTAAACTATAATCTACATACCATATTCGTATCCTTCTTACACTAAATTTGCCCTTGAAATGAGAATGGAAGCCATAAAAGGTGTTAAAATCTGGGCATGTGAGCCTCCCCACATCTCATTTAAGGACTAGACATTTGCCTTTTTAAGGCAAACCAAAGGAAACTGCCCAAACCCAGAGCATAGAGGACCAATCCTTGGGGGCAAGTCTCTGTACAACCTCCATTCAGTGTAGTTCCTGCCTGCTTCGGGCCAGGTGCTGTGCTGAGAGCTGGGGAGACGGGTATCAATAAGACATGGTGCCTGCCCTAGAGGGGCTCCCAGCTGGGGTCCTCTTCTTTTTTTTTTAATTTTTAAAGATTTTATTTATTTATTTGAGAGAATGAGTGAGTGAGAGAGAGAGAACTCATGAGCAGGGGGAGAGGGAGAAGCAGGTTCCCCGCTGAGCAGGGAGCCCAACGCGGGGCTCGATCCCAGGACCCCGAGATCATGACCTGAACCGAAGGCAGACGCTTAACTGACTGAGCCACCCAGGCGCCCCTGGGGTCCTCTTCTTAATTGATGTCCAGGTGTATCAGTGGATGTGCCGAGCGCCAATGCAGTTACAAATTGTTCTCAACACAGCACATCTGATGGATCAGCTGGCCAAGAGCCGAACCTATCCTTGCAGTTGGTAGTGTAGGGGCTTTGGAAACAGGCAGCTCTGAATTCAAACTTCAGCTTCAGCACGTACTAATTGTGTTGTCTTGGGAAAATCCCTTGTACTGCTTGTACTCTTGAGCTTCCATTTCCTCATCTGTAGAATGGGACAATCTTCACAATGACACTCTGCCAGGCTGGTACTATTACTATTCCCATTTTAGAGTATGACGTGTTTTTTGGTGTGCTTTTTAAAAAGATTTTATTTATTTATTTATTTATTTATTTGTCAGAGAGAGAGAGAGAGAGCGAGCACAAGCCGGGGGAGCGGCAGGCAGAGGGAGAAGCAGGCTTCCCGCTGAGCAGGAGCCCAACAAAGGGCCCGATCCCAGGACCCCGAGATCATGACCTGAGCAAAAGGTAGACGCTTAACGACTGAGCCACCCAGGCGCCCCAAGTTTGTTTATATTGAAGTAATCTCTACACCCCACATGGGGCTTGAACTCACGACCCTGAGGTCCGGAGTTGCACACTCTTCCCAATGAGCCAGCCAGGTGCCCCATTTTCCCCATTTTAAAAATGAGAAAAACTGAGGCACAGACAGGGCAAGCAACTTGCCCAAGATCATAAAATAGAAAGAGGGAGAGCCAGAATTCAAAGCCAGAGGTCTATTTTTCAGAACCCATTCTAGTAACTGCCAAGCTACTCTCCTCTTAGGCTGGTCAAATGCTGTCTAGGAGCTAACAAGCACAAAACTGCCAGACCTAGATGACATATTTAATAGAGAGTTGATTAAGAGACATATTCCATTGGCTGACACTTTAGCTCTGGCTAGACACAGTTTATTTTGTCTTAAAATAAGAAAAGCTGTGGTGGAAAGACCTGCTGGATTTGAGCATATAAAATCTCACGTCATATTCAAACTATTTGGCCAAGAATCTAGCTCTTGAAAAGTGACTCATCTGATAATGGAAATATGAGAGTCAGAGATCACCTGACTAAGTAGCCCAAACTCCTCTGAATAAAAAATGTACCACGAGGGAATGTTGCTAAAGTCACCATCCAGGGACGCCTGGGTGGCTTAGTCGTTAAGCGTCTGCTTTCGGCTCAGGTCATGATCCCAGGGTCCTGGGATCGAGCCCCACATCAGGCTCCCTGCTCTGCGGGAAGCCTGCTTCTCCCTCTCCCACTCCCCCTGCTTGTGTTCCCTCTCTCGCTGTGTCTCTCTCTGTCAAATAAATAAATAAAATCTTTTAAATAAATAAATAAAGTCACCATCCCTTGCCAAGATGATTGCATAGTGATTGAGACACAGGTTAAAAGAAAATAAATTGTAACTTAAGACTGAGCCATTGTAAGTGGGCTAAAATTTGTAGAACTCTTAGCACAGTGCCTGGCACCTAGTAAACACAATTTAAATGTTTCGTAAATAAAGAAAATATAGCCAGGTGGGTGTGGGAGGAGACCTAGTTAGAAGCAACCATGCTGGGGTGCCAATTGAACTTCTTTTCACATCCTCCCCCCACAACTGGACTTAGAAAAACCATTTCAGGGCGCCTGGGTGGCTCAGTTGGTTGAGCGACTGCCTTCGGCTCAGGTCATGATCCTGGAGTCCCTGGATCGAGTCCCGCATCGGGCTCCCTGCTCGGCGGGGAGCCTGCTTCTGCCTCTGACCCTCCCCCCTCTCATGTGCTCTCTCTCTCTCTCATTCTCTCTGTCTCAAATAAATAAATAAATCTTTAAAAAAAAAAAAAAGAAAAACCATTTCATTGCTGAACCTCAGTTTCCTGTCTGTTAAGTAAAAATTACAACAATAACTAACTCAAGAGGATTGTTTTAAGAGCCAAAGAGACAGTGAGATATTAGGGATGAAAATATGTCATTTATAAGCTATAAAGCACTGTAAAAACATCATTACTATTTCTAATATCCCAATTCGGAATTACAAGCGAAAGGACCGGAGAGATGTCCTGAGGCAGAGAATCAGATTTCTGGCACCGGTGTCCAGGATTGTCTGCCCTTCTCCCAACCCCCTCCCTGGCACAGACCCACCCCTATCTGCAGGCCCAGCCAAGTAGGGAGTAGAGGAGGGCCCCCAGTACCCAGAATTGGAACACAGAGTGCTCTCTCTCCCTCGCTTGCAGAATCAAGGCTGTACAGTTCTTTTTTTTTTTTTTTAAGATTTTATTTATTTATTTATTGGAGAGCGAGCGAGAGAGAAACAGCATGAGAGAGGAGAGGGTCAGAGGGAGAAGCAGGCTCCCCGCTGAGCGGGGAGCCCGATGTGGGACTCGATCCCAGGACCCTGGGATCATGACCTGAGCCGAAGGCAGTCGCCCAACCAGCTGAGCCACCCAGGCGCCCAAGGCTGTACAGAGTTCTTGAGTTAAGTGAGCACATCTAGTGTGCCAGATTGTCTGCATTCGGGATTAGACAGACTTTTGGGGACTGCCCTGAGAACCTGATGACCCAACGTAACCTCATTTCTCTGCACACTGGCATTGTGAGTTTTACACAACTGGCTTTATAAACACACTTTGGAATACAGAGCCGACTCTAACAGTGGGGACTGCTTGTATAGAGCCAAATGGAACAGCTTGAACTATGGTGCGTACTTCTGAAAAGAATATAAAAACATGGCATTACTATAAACTGTGAGATATTACCCCAAAGAGGATTCCCTTTTCTTTTTCTTTTTGCCTTTCTTTCTTTGTCTTTTGGTTTGTTTTTGTTTTCGTTTTCTTTTACTGTTTGGGAGAGAGCCATAGTTACCTATTGATTTGTCTCTAGGATTCAATCCAGGGAGAAAACCAAAGTGACTCAACAAGAATACATGAAAGATAAGATTCCAGGGATGCCGTGTGTAGGAATCAGCTGCCACGAGGAGTAAAAAGCAATATAAAACCAGCAAGGAAAGGTGCAACCAAAAGGTAATGAGGAGTGGCTGGCTGGCTGGCTCCGTCAGTAGAGAATGCGATTTCATCTCAGCTTGCGAGTTTGAGTCTCACGTTGGGTGTAGACAGTACTTAAAGTTAAAAATGTTTTTAAAAAATAAAAGGTAGTGGGGTGCCTGGGTGGCTCAGTTGGTTGAGCCATTGCCTTCGGCTCAGGTCATGATCCTGGGGTCCCAGGATCAAGTCCCGCATGGGGCTCCCTGCTCAGCAAGGAGCCTGCTTCTCCCTCTGACCCTCCGCCCTCTCATGTGCTCTCTCTCTCATTCTCTCTCTCAAATAAATAAATAAAATCTTTAAAAAAAATAAAAAAATAAAAGGTAGTAAGGAAAAAGCTTTCATAAGGCAAATGAGTTCAAGAGGGGAGCAGAAACCTACAGCTCATGGGGACCCTTTACAAATATAGCTTTTAATCAACTTCCCACTATGCCATCAATAGAGGAGCTCAGATGATTTCTGTCTAGAAATATTTAGACCCCCAGATTTTTTTTTTACCAGAAATAATGTGAGTTTTTTTTTTTTGTAAGCAAGCTCCACACCCAGCATGGAGCCCAACATGGGGCTCAAACCCACGACCCTGAAATCAAGACCTGAGCTGAGATGGAGTCAGACGCTTAACCGACTGAGCCACCCAGGTGCCCCTAATGTGAGAAATTAATTGACATCAGCTATTATTTTCTTTTCATTCCCTGTAACTCTAGCAGGTAAGTATTCATAACTCGTAATAGATTAGAGAACTGATCTGTAGAGATGGTATGTAGTTTGTTCATGGTGGAGCAAGGATTCAGACTCAGAATTGTCTGACTTTAATCGTGGTCTTTCAACAGCACCATGTCATCTCCACCACACAGCTCTACGAAAGAGCCACACTACTGAACTCACAAAAGGTAGAAAGGAAGAGAATCAGTCTAGAAAGTAGAATAGAATTTGGTTCTCATAGATAAATAGGGGAGACCCGAGAATGATACCTCCACCTGTCTGACAACTGATGGACATTTTATCTGGGAGATGCTGGTCTTTCTAGTCCTCTTATTCATAGAAGAGTCATCATATATTCATAGAAGAATCACTCATATATTCAACATATATTTATTGTGTCATATGTTTCTCGGGCAGTAGGGATAGAAAGACAAGAAATAGGGCTACACTCCATAACTTTCATGTATGAGATATATATTTTCTATATATCAAAGATATCTAGCTGCCCTGTGGGGCTTACTTTCCAGTGGGGCTGTAGGGGACCAATTATAAGTGCACTTTAGGTACTGTACTAGAAGCATGGAGGACATCAAGAGATCAGTGCTTTGGTCAGCATCAGCTATTATTCCTTTTTTTTTTTTTTTTAAGATAGTAGAATACCGTTTCTTTTTTCTTTTTTTTCTTTTTTCTTTTATTTTTTTTAAAGATTTTATTTATTTATTTGAGAGAGTGAATGAGAGACAGAGAGCATGAGAGGGAAGAGGGCAGAGGGAGAAGCAGACCCCCTGCCGAGCAGGGAGCCCGATGCGGGACTCGATCCCAGGACTCCAGGATCATGACCCAAGCCGAAGGCAGTTGCTTAACCAACTGAGCCACCCAGGCGCCCTTTTTCTTTTTTTTAAAAAGATTTTATTCATTTACTTGTCTGAGAGAGAGAGCACAAGCAGGGGAAGGGAGAAGCAGGCTCCCTGCTGAGCAAGGAGCCCAATGTGGGGCTCGATCCCAGGACCCTGAGATCATGACCTGAGCTAAAGGCAGATGCTTAGCCTACTGAGCCACCCTGGCATTCCGATCAGCTATTATTCCTTTTTTTTTTTTTTAAAGATTATTTATTTGTTTATTTGAGACAGAGAGAATGAGAGAGAGAGAGCACATGAGAGGGGGGAGGGTCAGAGGCAGAAGCAGGCTCCCTGCCGAGCAGGGAGCCCGATGCGAGACTCGATCCAGGGACTCCAGGATCATGACCTGAGCCGAAGGCAGTTGCTTAACCAACTGAGCCACCCAGGCGCCCCTGATCAGCTATTATTCCTAAGGCAAATTTACACACATATGCAGATAAGGCATTCTAGGGGAACTAATTTTCATCATGCTTGGAACACTTTCGTATTTCAAAATTATCTTGGCAACAGGTTTATACAATAGAGACCAGCCTGAGGTGAAAACTAAATAAGAATGGGGTGACTGAGATTGGGCTCAAATCCTGAGATGATTCTGATTTCCCAGAGACATAGGATATCCCAGCTGAAGTACCCAGACGTGTTCCAAATGTCACAGAAGATCTCGTGGAACTGAGGACTACAGATGGGCTTTGTTATTATGAGCAGGGCCATCCTTAGGAGGGTCCGAGGCTGAGACTGGGCATGGGACCCCTCTTCCCCTAGCCCAACATTTTCATATATGTGAATATGGTTTAAAAGATCAAGTACAGCCTAAAATAAACTTCAGGAACTAAAAGATATAAGCATTAGAAGAATTGTACACTTGTTCATACACGACTTTATTCATTCATCTGTTCAATATTTAGCATCCGATAGGGCCTGTCAGTGGGAAATATGAGATGAATACACCTCTCCACTCTCAAGAGCATGCATTCTATTTGGGCAGACAGGTGTGAACACAGCTTTGAGCAGAGCGTCCTAAGAGCCCAGAGAGGCTGTTGGAACAAGCAGGCTTAACTTTTCTGAGGGTAAAGAGGGATGACGATGCTCAAATTTGATTTTGAGAAAAGGGCGGAGGCACTGAAAACAGAGAGCAGAGTACGTGCAAAGCCCCATAGCTGTGAGGGAACCCGCCGGGTTCAGGGGATTGATAGAAGTCACGCATGGCTGGCAGGCAGCATTCAGGCCCTGGAGCCGGGGCTGCGAAGGAGAGCAGGGACAGATCATGAGGGCCACCGCACATGCCAAGGAGCTTGGCACTTAATGAATAAATAATGAGGAACAAACCACAAGAAAGCTTTAATTCCCAATGTGCCACGATCATGTTTGCATTTTTGATAATCAGAGAGAACGCGGTGAGAACAATCATAAAAGACAAGAGCAAAGGAAAGGGACTACTTGAAGTCTATAGTGATAACTTGAAACAAGTAATATGAAAGCATTTTCACTATCCGATATTTAAATAATACAGAAACTATTTCAGGAACAACACATTATCCTCCTAATGGATATTTAGGTTGTTTCTAATTTTTTTTTTTTAAGATTTTATTTATTTATTTGACAGAGAGAGACACAGCGAGAGAGGAAACACAAGCAAGGGGAGTGGAAGAGGGAGAAGCAGGCTTCCCACGGAGCAAGGAGCCCGATGTGGGGCTTGGTCCCAGGACCCTGGGATCATGATCTGAGCCGAAGGCAGACGCCTAACAACTGAGCCACCCAGGTGCCCCCTAATTTTTTTTATTATTAACTATGACTGTGCTTGTATAGGTGTTCAATAAATTGCTTATGAAAAAGATTATTTCTCAAAATAGTCTTTTAAAAAACTAGATGCCCAGGGCACCTAGGTGGCTCAGTCGTTAAGCGTCTGCCTTCGGCTCAGGTCATGATCCCGGGATCCCGGGATCGAGTCCCACATCGGGCTCCCTGCTCTGCGGGAAGCCTGCTTCTCCCTCTCCCACTCCCCCTGCTTGTGTTCCCTCTCTCGCTGTGTCTCTCTCTGTCAAATAAATAAATAAAATCTTTAAAAAAAACAAAAACAAAAAAATCTAGATGCCCATCTTCTTGGCATGGCTAAATCGGTTTTGGGAGCATTAAAGGATGGATGAGATGATAAGATAACTCTAACATTACTTTAGGCCCAATTAATATCAGCCGAAATATGACTGAGCCCAGGACTACGAAGAATAACACTAGTTTATCCGAATCCAGGCAGAGATGGGGAAGGACCATTCACAGCTCTTGCTCTGGACTCAATGTTTGTGTCCCCTCAAAAGTCGTATGTTGAAAGACTAACTCCCAATGTGTTGGTGTCAGGATGTAGGGCCTTTGGGAGGTGATGAGGTCCTGAGGTCGTAGCCCTCATGCATGGGTTAGTGTTCTGATAAAAGAGACCCCAGAGAGCTCCCTCGCCCCTTCTGCCAAGTGATGACACAGTAAGAAGATGGTTGTTTATGAACCAGGATGCGGGCTCTCGCTGGACACTGAATCTGCCAGTGCCTTGACCTTGGACTTCTAGGCCCCAGAACTCTGAGAAATCAGTATTGTTTAAGCCACCCCGTCTATGTGATTTTATCAGAGCAGCCCAAATGGATTAAGACAGCTCTTATGGATACACTTGGGAAGAGATGGCACAAGGGATGGAAATGTGATATATTTTTCCTAGGAAGGCTTGCGCCTAAAGAGGAATCTGGTGATAAAGGGGAGAAGTCGGGCCAAGTGGAAAAGCCTTTTGGAGCAATGCAGCACATGAAGCTGATGCTCCAGGCAGCATTCAGGAGATGGTGTCCTACCAAATGACCACCACTGCTACTGGTGGTTGGCTGTAAGCCTTGGTCCTAGAAGATCGTTGACTTACAACAAGGCCCTCCCCTTTTCCCCCTCTGTGGCAGCTCTCTTACTAATGGTCTTTTAATCATCAAAAAAACTGAAACCCTAGGGATGCCTAGGTGGCTCAGTCAGTTACGTATCTGACCCTTGATTTCAGCTCAGGTCATGATTTCAGGGTTCTGGGACCAGAACGTCATGTGGAGCCCTGCATTGGTCTCCACGCTCAGCAGGGAGTCTGCTTGAGGATTCTCTTCCTCTTCCTCTGCCCCTCCCCTGGCTAGCACACATGTGTTCTCTTTCTCTAAAATAAATAAATAAATCTTAAAAGAAAAAAACTGAAACCCTTATAAGGTCTGAGGTCAGATTTGTTTGGGGTCACACCTTCCTTAGGTTTTGTACCAACCCCATCTCTCACGGATTGGTGTTAATTCTCTGCCTAAGCCCTAGAGATGAAGAATTCCCAATGTCTTCCTTATAGACTCATCTTAGGGTTCCCATACTTTCATAGGCAGGAATATACCCCAATACCTCCCACCTAAAGCTGAGCTCAGTTTTCTCGGTTCAACTCTTAAAGACAAGGATAAGGACAGGAGGTCAGTTGTGATATTAGAGTTATGACATCACAGACTATGGAACTCAAGACAGGCATAGAAGCTTTTGAGCATTGGACTAGACTAGAACTGTCTGCAAGGCTTCATATCTAGCAAGTTAGTATGTACAGATTTAGTATGTTCTCCTGGTTAGTCACATAATTAAAAAATTCTCTTACCTGAGAAAACAGAAGATAACTAAGAAATATCTTAAAACCATAGTGGGGGATCCATGTTTGACTGTTTCAAATGACTACCAGCCCATACTTAAGGAAGGTATCTTTTTTTTTTTAAGATTTATTTTAAAGTATACCCAACATGGGGCTCAAACCCGCAATCCCAAGATGAGTTGCATGCTCTACCGACTGAGCCAGCCAGATGCTCTAAGAAGATATCATTTTCTCTAATTTGAAGAACAGAAAAATCGTGGGAAAGGACAATGGCATGCTCAAAGCAGATTTAGCCAAAGAGATTTTAATCTACCTGCAACTGTGTTCTCACGACAGGTCACTCTAAAGCCCTCCCTTCTCATATCCCTTTTTCTCTCGACTGATGGAGAAGAGAAGAGCCCAGTCCTCTTGACAGTGTTCCAGTTGTCTGTCTCTCATATCTCCAAATATTTGGGATATTTGGGACAGCAGAGACTATACTGTTTCAGCTCAGCCACTGACTTGTTGGATGAGTATTTAAAATTAAGGCTGCTCAGCCCTAAGGTAGGGAAAGGCTACAGCCACGGGACTTGAGCCAAATCTCTAAAAACATCATTCTGAAATAGGTGGAGAAATACAAACTCGATGAGAATGGATATGATCTGCCACACCAGAGTTCTGATTGATTGGATCCATGTGAATCCAGAGGACAGACTCTACTCAGGCTCAGTCCTGGTCAAAATTTTGCCCATGACTTGAATGAGTACAACAGTAACGACCTGATGAATCTGCAGCTGACCTGAAGCCAGAGGAGACAGTGAGTAGAGAGGATATCAGAATCAGAATCCAAAGAGAGCTCAACAGGCTGGAGCAACGGGGATAATCCGGCAACATGAAAGTTGACAGGGGGAAAAAGCCAAGTACACAGGTACTAGGTGAGAAGATGGGCATCTTGTAGCATATACGTAAAGGACTTAAGACTAGGTTAATGTACAAGAACAGAGAGATGTGCTAAGATGATTAAAGGCTGTAATTATAGAAGCATAACGGCAACAGTAAGGGAGGTGATTGACCTGATCCACTTTATACTAGTGTGGCCACATCTACAAATTTACTTCTCAGATTCTAGGCACACCCTGTTGTTTTTTTTTTTCAAGATTTTATTCATTTATTTGACAGAGAGAGACACAGTGAGAGAGGGAACACAAGCAGGGGGAGTGGGAGAGGGAGAAGCAGGCCCTCCGCGGAGCAGGAAGCCCGATGCGGGGCTCGATCCCAGGACCCTGGGACCATGACCTGAGCCGAAGGCAGATGTTTAACGACTGAGCCACCCAGGTGCCCCTCTAGGCACACCCTGTAAGAAAACAAATATTAAGATACATACAGGACAGTAAAAGCACTTGAAATCATGTCTTAAAAGGAATGGTCAAAGGAATTCAGTATTTTACCTAGAATCAGAGATTTTTATCTAAAAGAAAAACATTGATGGTGAAATGATTTCTGTCTTGAAATATCAGGAGCTCTGACATGCCAATCTGGAATGAAGCTGGGCCATTTGGCAGGGACATTTTGGGAGGAAGGCATCCCTCAGAGAATGATAGAATAGATGATGCCCTAGGTCCCTTCCAGTTCAAAGAGGCTGTGGCCTTGTCCTTCTGGCACGTCACAGGACCCCTATGTGTCTTATTTCCTCATGTATAAAATGATCTCTGAGGATAACTCTGATCTCCAAGCTCTTTTTCTGCTTGAACAGACTGTATTTCTGTAGCTCTTTTTCTTTGAATTTTCCCACAAGGCTGGGTACAGATGGGAGTTAATACATACTTATTTCCAGTTTACCTCGTTCCATTAAATGAGAGCAATGGGAAGCTCCAAGGAAGGCTACATGAAGAGAGAGAACCTGCTGTTACAGTTGAATTGTGTCCCTCCAAAATTCATATGCTGAATTCCTAACCCCCCAGTACCTCAGAATGTCTCAGAATGTGACTGTATTTGGAGATAGGGTCTTAAAAGACCCTAATTAAGTTAGAATAGGTTATATGAGTGGGCCTAATCCAATACAAATGGTGTCCTTATTAAAAGAGAAAATTAGGGGGGCACCTGGGTGGCTCAGTTGGTTAGGCGACTGCCTTCGGCTCAGGTCATGATCCTGGAGTCCTGGGATCGAGTCCCGCATCGGGCTCCCTGCTCAGCAGGGAGCCTGCTTCTCCCTCTGACTCTCCCCCCTCTCATGTACTCTCTCTCTCTCTCTCTCATTCTTGCTCTCTCAAATAAATAAATAAATAAATAAATCTTTAAAAAAAAAAAGAGAGAAAATTAGGATATGGACAGGTCCGTGAAGACACAGAAAGAGGATGGCCATCCACAATCCAAGGAGAGAGGCCTCAGAAGAAACCAACCCTGCCAACACTTTGATCTCAAACTGCTAGCCTCCAGAATTGTGAGAAAATGGATTTCTGTTGCTCAGGCCTCCTAGTCCATGGTACCCCGTTACAGCAGTCCTAGTGGACCTGTAGACCTGCTATTTTCACCTCTCCTCACACATGGTAGGGAGAAAAGGAGTGGAATGTTTTGTTTATGAAAACCTCTTCCAAAAGTGTCAAACTATAGGGGCCCCTGGGTGGCTCAGTCAGTTAAGCATCTGACTCTTGATTTGGCTCAGGTCATGATCTCAGGGTTGTGAGATCAAGCACTGCATCAGGCTCCATGCTGGGCGTGGAGCCTGCTTAAGATTCTCTCTCTCCCTCTTCCTCTGCCCCTCCCCCTGCCCCCACTTGCTTGTTCTCTCTCTCAAAAAAAAAAAAGTGTCCAATTTTAAGGACACTGCCTGGATTTATCCTTAGATTTCATCCATCCTTCTCAGAAATATGAAGCTTTTTCTTTAGTTGCAGATTTTTGCAGTTAGAACAGACTCTACACCACAGATCCCAAACTGGTGACCCGAACAGGTTGAATGTGGTCACAAACATGCTCTGTTTTGGTCCCCACATATTAAATTTTTTTTTATATATAGTGGCAAATAATTAAAAATTGAGGGGTTTTCACATTAAAGCCCATATCTCTGGCTTCTCTTAGAAAACCAGGAGATTCAGCTTCAGTGGCCTTCCCTGCAATAGTCTGTTGGAGTGAAGTAGTGGTCCTCTCTTTAGATGGGCCATATGTTCTCCACTTACTACAGTCCCCACCTGGACTGCTGCATTCATTTACCTGACCCTGTTCAGGATTTGTATCTGTGACTTTTGTCAACTAGAAAGGCCAAAAATCTGTTACTCTTTACCTTGCAGAAGGTCATCACAGAATTTCCCCTCAATAGCAAGAGATATGTAAGTGTCATATTTTCTTTGCGTTTTTTTTTTAAGGATTTTATTTATTTATTTGACAGAGAGAGACACAGCAAGAGAGGGAGCACAAGCAGGGGGAGTGGGAGAGGGAGAAGCAGGCTTCCTGAGGAGCAGGGAGCCTGATGCCGGGCTTGGTCCCAGGACCCTGGGATCATGACCTGAGCTGAAGGTGACGCTTAATGACTGAGCCACCCAGGCGCCCGTGATTATTTTATTTTAAAGTAAGTTCTATGCCCAGTGTGGGGCTTGAACTCATGACCCTGAGATCAAGAGTAACATGCTCTACCAATGAGTCAGGCAGGTGGCCCCAGGTTGGTGTTTTTAAATTTGGAATTAGATATGAGAAACATCAACATCTTTTTAATGCTTAGGGTCTTGAAGGTGCAACTCTTTTTTTTTTTTTTTAAAGATTTTATTTATTTATTTATTTGAGAGAGAGAGAATGAGAGACAGAGAGCATGAGAAGGAGGAAGGTCAGAGGGAGAAGCAGACTCCCTGCTGAGCAGGGAGCCCGATATGGGACTCGATCCCAGGACTCCAGGATCATGACCTGAGCCGAAGGCAGTCGCTCAACCAACTGAGCCACCCAGGCGCCCGAAGGTGCAACTCTTTATGGGGCTTTACGGGCAGGGGCTTTATGGGCACATCTAACCTAAATCGCCATCCGGGGGAATTATTCTCACAGGAGGAATTCCAAGCCACGAAGAAGCAGGGAAACTGGGGAGGGACAGGATGCCAAAACATGCACAATAAAGTGAACTTAATATGGATGGATTTCTTCACAAGATGCCACTTGCTTTCTCATGATATCCTGATCTATGAACTTTGTGGACACTACTTCTGGGAGATGTTTTATGTAAAAGGTTTCCGTGGTCAAATAATGTTGTGAAATACTGCACCTTTTATCTCTGTCACGAAGATTCATGATGTATGTTAGCATATTAAATCTTCTAAGCAGTTATGCAATAAAGGAACTAGTCTAAATTAAAAAAAAAAAGTCAGTGTTTTTCAAATGTATCTAATTGCAACAAGAAAATTTTAAATCTTGAAACCTTGATTAATATCCTGCAATATTGTGTGGAGCACAGATTAAAAAGTGCTACCCTCACATTTGCTTTCTTTTGGTGATGGGATGGTTTTTACAAAAGAGACATTTGGTGTATGTCCTGTCAAGTAAATAACTGTTTTCCTGTCAACTGATTCATTTGATGGGAACAATAAATTTGTAGGCTGACCCACATGAGTGCTCCCCAGAATTCACACCCAGGTTGGGCTCCTGGGTGGCTCAGTTGGTTAAGCGACTGCCTTCGGCTCAGGTCATGATCCTGGAGTCCCGGGATCGAGTCCCGCATCGGGCTCCCTGCTCGGCGGGGAGTCTGCTTCTCCCTCTCCCACTCCCCGTTTGTGTTCCCTCTCTCGCTGTGTCTTTCTCTGTCAAATAAATAAATAAAATATTAAAAAAAAAAAAAAAGAATTCACACCCAGGTGACTTCATGGTAGAACATTCGTTGGCTTTTCTTTCTCTCCTTTCCTACAGCACTCACCACTTGGTGATGGGAAGGGTACGTGACTCCAGTGGCCTCTGCATTTTTCTGGACTTCTGTCAGCAAAAGACTACCTGCACTAGCCAAAGGAGTCTAAAAATGGACAAGATGAACATGTCATATTGAAGGAACGTGTGTTCTCATTTTATCATACAGTTTTAAGAGCTAATTTTGCTGTCTGCTGGGTATTTAAGTGAAAAACTTGTAGGCTCAATAGGGATTCAGGGGAGAGATGCAAAGAATGGGAGAAAAAAAATGTCATTTTATCAATATGTGAGCACAGCAGCTACTCCATTCTCTCCTCCCCACCCTTCCCTCTTGCTCTCAGACAAAAGTACTGAGTGTGTCTGTTTCTTACTCCCACTACAAGCTTTGAGCTGGGCAGGGGAGTGTGTCCAGCAAAATGCTTGCTCTCTGGGAGCCCTTAGCAGGGTCACCCCCGCTGAAGTGGGAAATTGCTAAAGGATTTCTGCCTGAGCTGGAAGCTGCTTAACTGAAACTCAGTAGCAGTAACATCTATTGTGACTGTGAATATTTTGTCCTCCCAGAATTCTTCCTTTTCCTTCCTCCTCTCCAACCCCTGCCTTTTGGTTGGTTGGTTTGTTTTAGTGGTGGGTCTGCATCCTTATTCTCATAGCGCCTCTCGTGGGATCGGATAGTGGGATCGGGAGTGCTCCCCACTCCCCTGCTCCCTGCTGCCCTGCTCCCAGTTTCTTTGTGGCCTGTCATAGGGGCAGGCTCACAGAGAAAGCCGGTCTCTTGTGCTTCAGGGGAACAAATCACCCTTCCCTGCCCCCCCAGGTCAGGGTTAGAACAAGAAAATGAAAATAGCCAGTTCAGCACTGACTAGATACCGGCACTGTGCTAAAAACTTTCTATGTATTTTCTTATTTCATCCTATTTCCATTTTACAGTCGAGAAAACTGAGGCTCACCAAGGTAACTTGCGCCCAGTCAAACACACTACGTGGCACAGAGCTAAGATTTGAAGGCTGATGCCAAAGTTCATGCTATTGGCCACTGTAGTAAATTCCTTCACTGCTTCGATGAATGTATCAGGCAGTGTTCAAGTAGTGGGGATACAGGAGTGGGGACAAAGAATGAGGCTTTCCTTATGCAGCTTCCACTCCAGTGAGGAGACAGAAAATGCACAACAAAGCTTGTCAGTTCAGATGCCATGAGGAAAACTAAGCAGAGTAACAGGATCAAGAGTAGTGGGGAGGGGGGAGGGGCGGCTCCTCTGCCCAGAGTGAGTGGTCCGGGAAGGCCTCTGCGAGATGCCACTGGAATGGGATTACCCTATGCTCCTGCATTTTCTCAGGGACACCCGCATGCTGGCGACTCCAGCTAGAGAACTCTAGAGAACTCTATTTCATTGGGAAGACACAACTGGCATTCTTCCACAGAAATAGGTTGGACTATGTCTTCAGAAATATGCTGGTTGGTGTGTCTTCCGAGTTGTCCAGGAGAAAAGTGCTCTCACCTTTCAACAAAAGCCTTCATTTTACTTGGCAGGTGAACCCTATTCTTCTAATAACAATGGATAACAGTTGCCAAGCACTTGCCATGTCATGTGTCAGTCGTGGGTCTAAGTGCTTTACATGTGCCATTTCGTTTAATGCTGACAATCACTCGAAAGGGAGATTGTCTGAGCTTTGGCTGTCATAACAAAATACCATAGACTGGGTGGCTTAAACAACAGGAATTAATTTTCTCACAGTCCTGGAGGCTAGAAGTCCAAGATCAAGGTGCTGGCATGGTTGAGTTCTCTTGAGAACTCTCTTCCTGGCTTGTGGACAACCTCCTTCTCCCTGTGTCCTTACATGGTAGAGAGAAAGAGAGGGAGAGGGAGGATGTGAGCTGTATGATGTCTCTTATGATAAGGGCACTAATTTCATCATGGAGCCTCTCTAAACCTAATTATCTCCCAAAGGCCCCATCTCCAAATGCCATCACATTGGGGATTAGGAATTAAATATACAAACTTTAGGGGAACACAATTCAATCCATAGCAGAGATGTCATTATTACTGTCATTCTACAGGTAAGGAAACAGATACAAAGAGCTCAGGTAATTTGCCCAACATCATATGCAGTGGAATTAGTATCCAGTTATTGTCAGACTGACACATATCAAAAACCATCTTTGTGAGGAAGAAGAAAATGGCACAATATTACTAGTTCTGAACTAAAATCATGAACCCTGAAAGTGCTTAAAAACAACAACAAAAAATACCAAAGCCCTACAACTT